GGCAAGGATATATTTACTAGCTCATTTCTCCATATTACCAGGTACATAACATGCAAATTATACATCAACCTTGCAATCCAGGCTTTAACCCCTGCAGTTGCCACTCTCCTGCAGCATGTTTGGGAAGGGAGAGGAAGGAATGGAGGTACTGTAATTTCTATATTTAGCCCCCTTCTCTTCAAGCCCCGCTCCAATAACCCCCCGCTCATTTGGATACAAAAATAAAAAATAAATAAGCCCCCCCCCCTCATTTGGATACAAAAATAAAAAATAAATAAGCCCCCCTCCTCTTTTAACCATGCAGCTCTCATTCAATTTCTTAAAATCATGAAATATATTGCATTTCTGCAGTATTTTAATAAAATATAGTACAACGGTAACTCTGAATATGGACATTTTTTAATGGTAACCAGACTTATTGCATATATTTAGAACAAGTGCCCCCTCAATGATGCTTAGGAAACAATAATACCCAGGAGGCTTGATACAGAAATTAAAGTAGTTATTTGATTGAAACTGGTAGTAAGTAGTAACTGGTAAACTATTTCAATTCAACTGTATCTCCTTTTATATATAATTGGATTAATTGCCAATATATTCACATAGTATAATAGTTTGGAAATGGAATCAATGCTTGTATATTTTTAGCAAATGAGCATTGTTATTGATCAACAATGACTCTTATTGCTATAAACAACATTGTTTCACATAGCAACAGACAAGGAAGCATCTGTATTTAAATATAATTCACTACTTATTTTTATCCTGACACAAATTGATGCAAAAATTGTTTCAGGTTTTGCTTAGTTATAGCCTTACATCGGGCTATTCCATTTAATATCCGTACCCCCTTCCCCCTGTTGAGGATCCCTGGAATTCTTCAGGGATAAAGGGTTTTGAGCTTGAAATTCTTCAGGGGTAAAGTGTTTTGAGCTTGGAATTCTTCAGGGGTAAAGTATTTTGAGCTTGGAATTTTGGAATTCTTCAGGTGTAAAAGGTTTTGAGTTTGGAATTCTTCAGGGGTATAACCATGAAAAGCATGTATCCTTGACGGGGGTGTACGGATTTTAAATGGAATAGCCCATCATGCTGTCAAGTGGCAATCATTTACAAAGCAAGTCTATAACCAATTGTTTTACAACCTGAGGAACTTCTTATTAAATTAATTACTCTATAATTTATACAGATGTTACAAAAACACCTGGCATCTTAAATTTATATAAATATAAACTCCTTTTACAAAAGCACAAAGACCACGGGCTACAACTGTATTGTTTAAAGCTTCAAGTTTTTAACACAAGCAAAAGCTGTCACTCCAAACTCCTGGCAACAATATGTCAATTTAACAAAACAACGACAACGTGTGCGATGATTTAATTTAGCCAATTCTTTCATGGTTATCATGGAATATTAAATACGAAACTTGTTACGCCGTCGTTTCCACATACAATAATGAATTTTATACTCATACTTTAGATCGATAAAAAGTCATTCATAAATACCATGCCATTGTGTAAGTATATACCCAACGTCCCAATATTTTTTCATACGATTAACATTATATCCTTCGATTTATATTGTTTGATTTCGCATTCCAAATCTGATAAACATTGATACACTAATTCTCTCTTCGCGTATGTCCACGCGTAATTCTCGCAAAAAACACGCATTAATTGTGTCGGTAGCGTTGATGATCACGGCAGCCAATCAAATAACGATTTCGATTCGATTTCCCCAGAGTCGTGCCACTACCTAACCCGCGAACAGGCACACTCTTGGAACGAGATTGGCGTAGCGCTGGCCGCTGGGTGCGGAAATTTTAGTACTGCGCGAAATATAATCCGCGCAAAAAGCTTTGTGGTAGCTATACTAAAGATAAGGTGTGCGTTCAAAATACCAACAAGAACTAGAACCATTATTGTATGGTTCTCATTTGCTAGACTTGCCACAAGTCGACCTCGAAGAAACGCATTTCGTTCGAGGTCGACTTGTGGCAAGTCTACTTATTTGCCTAATACAATAACATTTAGTTCGACGCGAATTTTAATACAAGTATGATATCATATTTCATAATATAACAAACAATGTAAACTAGCCATACATTTTGCCGAACATAACTTCGGCCCTTTTGGACTTATCTTTTTCGTAATAATATTATTGGAACCAGAATCAAAAACACTATTTATAGTGTTATTTTCAAGCTAATTGTTTCTTTGGATTTTCATTTTTTATTTCGGTATTTACATAATATTTATATTTTTAGCGCGGTGATCAAAACAACGCGCTGTTTAGGAAAAACGGAAATCGATTCTGTAGGTCCGCATGATTTGCACATGCATCAATCGAGCTATAAACGTGCGTGCGAGTAATTACCGGATATTTTGAAAAATTCAAAATAAATATTCCTACTCTGTGCGCTTGAATACAAGATGTATTTTACTCACATTGACTCTGAGCAAATTCTGAAGAGTTGCTAAAGAATACTAAAGCAGGGTGCATTGCCTGTTTAATTAATGTGTTAATAAGAGACCAATGTCAGATGTGTTTGTTAACCCATTTACTGACAGTACTTTGCCACTAACAAGTAAAATCGTCTCGCGTTACGGCGTAAATTAGTCTGGCGTTAGCCAGAGTTAATACTAAAGTAGTGTACGTGAATTGTCAGCTAATAGGTTAATAGACCTTAATATCCACTTTTGACCCGGTGGCTTCATTTTCATGTTGGCTATTTACTCGTATTCCGTGCACACAATTTAAGAATGAGTTTGTGAACGGACTTAAATGATGAACGAGAAGGAAACATTGGGGATATAACCGAAAATTGTCTAGAAGTATAAATTTTTGCATTCAGTTCATACGCCATAAAGGCAGCACTTTCCTTGCGATAGTAACTCCTAGTACTAGGTTTGTACCATTACGTCTCCTGAAAAGTCTTTTATTTTTTTAAAAAGTCCATAAAATTTGCTTGTGGTTTAAGGTTTGTATTCCTGCCTTTTGCACCATAGCACGTATCTCGTTATTTTCAGGCCAGTGTGAAAGCCTGAGCAGGCGTCTTGTTATCTATAAAATATCATAAAGACACATAAATTTTGAGACAAATTCTGCAAAAGAACAAGCAATTACAGCTTTTTGACGTCCTTGGTCGAGTTCCAAACTTTATATAATGGCATTTTATATAATAACTATTCAGGCCGTGCAGTGTGTTTTTATACTCGTGAAAACAAATCACGTTCATCAATCTACACCAAGCACTTAGCGTCATCATTCAAATGAAAAGGGGTCAAATGGCCGACGGTGCGGGAATGTTTTCGCGTCAAACTCCCGCCTGTGCAGGATTAATCTCTGGTCAAATCTCGGGGGTTCGCCCGGAGGGAGGGGGAGGGGGGATGATCACAGTTGGAATTATTCGTACATTACAACCAATCTCGTCCTGTACACACCAGACAATGTTCATTGATAAAATAAAAAAATAGATATGACATGATATATCTATTCTGTGATAAAATATTCTTTTGTGGGGGGGGGCAGGGGGAATTGCCCCGGGCTCCGAGTTGCTGGGGTCCAAAGTTGCTGCCCCCCCCCCGGGGGGGTGGAGGTTGTTAACCTAAAATAATTTTTTCCGAAAATAATTTTGAAATAGGGGCCCCTTAAAAAAACTTTGCCACGGGCCCCGCCAACTTCGCGGCGGCCCTGCCCGACATGGCGGATGACGTGCAAGTCAAGAATAGAGAAAATTTAAAAATCAGTCCAGTCCAACTGTCCAGTCCAGTCCAACTGTCCAGTCCAGTCCAACTGCCATTCCAGTCCATCTGTCCAGTCCAACTATCCAGTCCAACTGTCCAGTCCAACTGTCCAGTCCAGTCCATGTTTTGTACTATGCCACCAAATAGCGATGTAAATATGTACTGTAAATTGTAAAAGTACAGTACGTACTGTAGAATAAAAAAGAAACAATCGTCGAATGCTCGGACTGACGACAATTTCCGAAATTCATCATCTTGACATCCTATCTTTTAGGTATATGAATGTGCTAGCCGCTGACCGCGGCTAACACAAAATTATCGTGTTACCATGACAACTACTTTAGATATTTCATGTTCGGAAAATACAATGGTTTTGTTAGCAAGGCGAGGGTTTCAGCATGCATGTATTTTCTAGTTATATTTTTGGTTAGCGTTATTTGCATGCGTTGTAGCTATATATACGTTCTCCGATGAAAGTATCTCGCAAGGATTACTTGAAAGGCAGGACGTCTGCGATGCTATGCATGAAATAGGCGATAGAGAGAATTATGATAAAAGTCATTCATCAACGTGCAGGACAGTCTGTATTATCAAAGTATCGCCTTTTTTATTATTAAACTGATTTTTTACCAGCTGTTTAGTTGAAAAACTCAACAAAGATTACAACGTCTGGCATTTCCTCAATTGGTAAGTGCACGTACATTTTAAACATCGTATATGCCTACTGGGAAATACATCCATGCAGCAACTCCTCATGATTTCACATGAAGTATTAGCACCCGAATGGCCAACACTGAAGCCTGGTCGCGTTGTGCGGAACGTTTGCCCAAGCTAAATTTTTTCGAAATTTTGATATCTTCTGTTCAAAATAGAAGAAAAATAACAATAATAATTTTAACTTAAACAACAATAAATGAATTTACGAAATAGATACCGCGTAAATATATGTAAATATCAAGGCCGCCGGAGGTAAATCATTATTGAGTGTCTGTGGGTGGTGGGGGTGGGGGGGAGGTGGCGGGGGTAATTAACGATATTACTCTTCATATACTTTATTATTTATTTACCAATATACGGTATATACAGCAAATGCCTCATTACATAGATACATGCTTAAATTTCTGCCGTGAAATACAAAGAATATTTGCATCAGGCGAAAATTTAAATTTAAATTTTCGTCTGACTATTACTTTTTTATGTCGCTGATAGAAGTTTCTATTTTTAACCTATTATAAATTCTCTGGATGTAAAAATGCAATGGCTCTCGGAATGGAGAATGGCACAATTCGTGATGATCAAATCACAGCATCTAGCGAATATAACAGTGCTTTCAGCGCGTCTAATGGAAGGCTAAACTACACACGAGAAAGCGGAAAAATTGGGGTATGGTCAGCGAGAATAAGTGATCGCAATCAATGGTTGCAAGAGCATTTTGAACGATCGACTATCATTACAGGAATAAGTACGCAAGGCCGTGATTCCTTTCATCAGCATGTCAAAAGTTACACGATTTCTTTCAGCGTTGATGGAGCAAAATTCCATAATTATCAACCAAATGGAATACCTGAGGTTAGCTGAATCGTGCTCTTCGTTGGGAGAAATAAGAAATTATAATTAACTTTTGTTTTTTATTATATTCGTTTTGATTTTAGATATTCGAAGGAAACAGTGACGGCGCTTCTATCGTAAATCACATTTTTGCACCTTCAATTGTGGCTGAAATTATTCGCGTACAACCAATTGCTTGGAAAGATCATATCTCTATGCGAGCCGAATTTTATGGTTGCTATTACTAATGTAATACGTTTTGGGATATTAGTGAAGAAGTAATTAGGATGCGCACGCATCAAGAAACGTAATGAGCTATAAGCAATGCACTATGCACAGTACATAATGCACAGTACATAATGCACAGTACATAATGCATAATGCACAATGTACAATAGACAAAAGAGACAACAAAGACACTAGTTCTTATAGCAGATATTTTAGAAGAGAGTTTTACTGAAGGCGAAACCGCGCAAACATAATAAAATATTGAAACGTTATGTTGGCTCTACAAGTTGTTGTATTATATCTGAGCAGTACGACCCAGGACTCCGTTAAGCGTAAATGTATATTCGACGGCAAACTGAGAAAACTGTATGCGATAGGCCTACGAGGGTCGTTTATTAAGATTGGTGGAGGATGCGGGCACATTTCAAGACTCAGAAAAAGATACGATATCGATACATAAAGAAAGTATAGACAACAGCGACTACGTCTAAAGTTAACGAAATCGATGAAGACATATAAAGCAGAGAAAGGTTATGTATGATAATTACTTTCCCTTTTTGGTTTGGCACGAAGTAGACAAAGAAACGAGTGTCGTGTCAGTATATTTTCTAATCCTTTAATATTTTTGTTATTAAATTGTATCTATCTATCTACAATCAAAAGCAAAAATTATTGAGACATCCTATTCGCCCCCCCCCCCCACTTCCCCCTGAAACAATGTTGTTTCCATGATACCAAGCCACAGTTTTGGCCGAAAACATTCAACCGTACCAACATTGTCAATGGGGGGAGGTGGAAATAGTAACAAAAGAGCGAACTATATGAGTGTAGAGGTGTCAAAGTGAAAAAATGTCGGAAATACGTAAAGTCTCATTATTTTTGCACGTGATTGTCTAGGTTATACATTCAATAGATTTTGTCAAAAAAGCTATCAAATAAAGGTTAAAAGCCAAGGGAAAGGTTTTTATTAAACTGTGAAGACCGAGGGTCGAAGGCCCGAGGTCTTTACAGTTTAATAAAAACCTATATCCGCGGCTTTTAACTTGTTTATATACTCATCAGACCATATTCTTTTGTATTTCGGAGGTTTTCTTCATTAAAAATTCAATGGGAGGTCGCTGGGATTGTGGGACGAAATAAGGTGTAACATGCGCATTAATACGCTTTAATGTGGTTAAGCATGCGCAGTATATCATTTCATGTCCTACAGGCGAAAGAGCAGATATTACTGTATAAATTCCCTGCACAAGCAAGTTTGATTGTTGATCCAGCTAGTCCTCGTGCACCGAATGACAAATATTCTACATTTAAATGATGGATGAAGGAAGAATTGGTGCAGAAGAACGAGGAATGGATATAGAAGTTGGTGAGGAAGAAGGAATAGTTGGCCATGAAGTATGGAAGGTTGGAGACGAAGAAGGAGGACCTGGACGCGAAGAGCGAAACCCTGGCGCAGCCTAGTCCCTAGGCCTCTTAGTACGCCTATTTCGCGCTTCTGCATATTAATGAGGAGACGACTCCTGAGAGGCCTAGAATAAAATGTTTCAAGTGAGCGAAAGTGGGGACAAAGTGTCCCCACTTGCTGTATTGAGATCAATGACGAGTGAAATTGTCGCCGTTCTCATGAGCGAGTAAATGTTTATAGATTTGTATCAAATTAACTTTTATATTGCGACAAGTTGGATTAAAACTTAGTGGTTTTAATATATATTGAATAGAAGCAGTGGTACATAAATTAACATACTGAAAAGACAATGTAGTAAGGCGGAATTGATGCTAACAAAGAAAAAGAAATCGGTGAGAAATATATCATAGAAGGTGAGAACTTATTTATCGATATCCTGGGATAACTCTGCTGTAATGTAGAATATTGACTAAATACATGGTAAATATAGTAACGATATTCATCAATGCACTATTGAAATGCATGTATTCGCCTGTGTTAACTACAACGTTTGAAAATTTGCGAGCTTTGAGTACTGTGTTGCTAAGAATTTATAGATCAAGATATAGATGTGTTATGTACTTGTAAACAGTTTTTATTTTATTATTTTTGTTTGATGTTTAGGAAATGTTTTACCTGTGACAGAAAATTTACCATGCAGGCAGGGACAGTTGTCAAGAAAATATATAACTAAACATGGTCATATTTGAAGAATTTGGTGAAAGTGGTATTTGGGAATGATAAAGTTCAGACAATAATTTTGCTGTTCATCTATTTCGTCAGTCAGGAACTGGCCGAACTGCAGTCTGCATAGTGTCATGTATGTAATATTTTCAAACAAGAATCACCTGATCACCACGCAAATATGACTTGTTGTTGGACTTCCGGAAACACCGGTATTCTTGTTTATATTCCGAAATGATACTTGTTCGAAATAGTTTGTGTTAGAACAGTCACAAGATACAGCATCTAATTCTTATTAGTATGTAAAAATTGAAGCAATTTCAATACGAACAGTCCAGGCACATGTGAACAGGAATAGAGTAATATTTGGAGGTTAATGTTGCTAATTTAATACATAATAATAAATATATTTATTGTAATAAAATTATTATGAAATTTATTACGATTAAAATTGTTATTGAATTTTTAATTTATTAAATTGTTGAATATGATATTATTACTGCTCCATTAAGCAGAAATAAGCCCCAAAACATCACGCCTGTCAAAAATGCATCAAAAAGCGCCAATTAGAAGTGTCCACTATTTTTCTAATTACCGAGCGGAAAAATGTAAGACTGGTAACTAATTCTAATTTTGAAAATCGCGCGTTTTCTCTTGCTTCTGCAATCTCGTTCCCCGAGCCTGCGATCCTTGGGAAGGAACCGAAGGCTCTGGGATAATCCGTTTCAGGGAGGAATCTGATTGGCCGTTGATATGGAATGGAATGTAGCAATAGAACGAAAATTAATTATTAATCGTATAATTTTATAACAACATGGCTGCCTTTTAGGAGTGGGTTAATATTGTTTTTGGATTTCAGCGACGATTTCAGTGCAATTTTAGCAGTGCTAAGGTAAATTATCTTCTGTAATTGTACATGGAAAATATAAAGAAACGTTATATTTTTCACAATAGTAAAATAGGGCGTGAAACTTTTTATAAATTTGTCATTCGTGTTGTAAAATACACCGAGCTATTTGCCTATTTTTATACTAAACTATATGCCTTACAAGTTATATTTTGGAACTATCTTCCTCAATAAGCAACTTCCTCTTAATTGCTAAATAATGATCTCACACTGGCAATTTTTATTATAATTTTTGTAGTCTGCATATTCGTGCCATAAGTGTAGGAAGTGGATACAAATTCATAATAAATATATTAGCAATAGTTTAATATTGCTTCCATTGAACTGCATTCCAATATAATTTCCAAAGAAGAAAAGCACTATAAGCTTCTTAGAAACAATAGCTTTGTAACAAATATGGCAGGGCTAGGCTCACATATTGATTTGTTTTTGTTCTCCAGATCAAATTTGGCTATTCTGAATAAAACTGCTGGTATATGAAGTTGGTATCACAGCATTTTTTGGTAAACAACAGCACATGGATTGCTCCCAAAAGACACAGACATACTGTATGCATGGTCTTTCAAGTAAAATCCTAGTGAATCAAGATATGATCTGGAAAAGTCTTGTTCTATCTTTTTGTCCATGTTTGTGAAAACTTGTGCGCAGTCAAGACAATGTATTTTTGGCATAATGAGCATTGCCCAATGGCATCATCTTGTTGAATCACTTAGATGTAGTCTGTTGAAATATTAAGCAAAACTTCAAAAGATTTGTGTACAGTTAAGTGTACTGTCTCAAGATGAAATTCATTTATAGACAGTTTTAAAGTTTGCCAAGTTATTGGCAATATAAGTATACACTAGTGAGGTGGCTTAAATAAACCTCCAGGGTTATGAATAAATGTTTTGCAATATAATGATGAACATGCAATGGTAATAGTGGTTTAATATGCAAATTTATTTGTAATATTGTATGTAAAATTTGCTTGGCAGTGCTACACACCCTCTGGCTCACCTTCCCCCTTGATTTTCAGCACCCCTCCAGTGCAAAATCTGAAAATCTGTCTGGTTCGAGGGCATGTTCCCCCAGGAAATTATGAGATCTGAGACCTTTCAACCCCCAGAAATACAATCAAATTTGCTAGCTGAATAAAAAATAGGCCATGTAGCTCATAAGAATATGAACAACGCATTGTAAAAATATTAAAATGTGTTAGCCTATGTAGCATTTGTTGCATTAAAATGTTCAATGTATTGTGACAAAGTTGTCGTATAAGTCAGATGTTATGTTTGGCACACTTTACCCACCCCCCTACATTTTCAACGGAATTAAGCATCTCCCAAACGTGGTCATAAGGCAGATTGGGGGGGGGGGATTGTGCCCCCCAATGCACCCGTGATTACCATCATTATGCCTCTACGATATATATGACAGAGATTTATTGGGAAAATTGTATATATTTTTAATTAACTTGTTTGCCAAATTCTTCAAATTAAAATATTTATAGATGGGTCCAATACACTAGAATTGGCATTTTCTAACATTTCAGCAGCTGAACTTAAAACACAGTCATCACAGCTACATTTCTGTTGATGAAAATCACAGCAAGTATGCTCTGGTTTAATCCTCTTTGCTAGTTTGTAACCAAAGTAATTCAGAATTATTTCCCTTTTGCATTTATCTGCCACAGCTACAATTAGCTCTTTCATGGGGGGTTAAATGTTAAAAGATGATGAGTTGTTAGTAGTATATTGTGGAAGATGCTCTAGAAGTCCATCTCGTCCACATCTACCGGCTTCTTGAAAATACTCCTCAATTATACAAGGGACTCCAATATGAATAATCCTATGGATGTCATGCATGTCAACACCAATCCCTAAAGCCACAGTGACAAATAGTAGCCTTAACTTGGACTGACCACTTACAAGATCCTGTACAGTATAATCCTTTCTTGTTCATGTTCTGAATATTGCGCATGAAACTGTGTGAATAGTCTGTTAACTGAATGTTTGCTAGATTGTACTGGTTCATATTGCAAAGGCCCCATCATATTGCTTGCAAACAAAAAACATTCTCCAATAACTTGCAAGTTGCCATAAACTAATGTCAGAGGGAAATTGAACTGTTTCACTTTTAATTCTGCAATCAGGAGGAGTTAATATAGGTTGAAGGGTCCACTTGAAGCTTATCATCCCCTCTATTAGGTCCTGGCAAAGAGCTGAAGAAGATATTGGGACGATCAGGGCTTATTTCAATATGTTTTGGATTGATCAATCCGAGACTGGTTGTAATATCCTTTTTCATCTGCAATGTGGCAGTGCTGTCATTGCCAAAAATGTGATCTTGGGAAAAATACTTGTCAGCATACCAATTTTCCCATGACAAGGTCTAAAACTTTTCCTAAACAAGAAAAATATAAGTTATGTTAATGATTAACAAGTCCAGCTGCAATGCACCATCATCATGCTTCCTACTCTTTTACCCATTGAGTAAGCCAGCACTCATTACTTGATGAGTAAAACTGTCTTACATTATTAGACCACTTAAAGGATTAACACAAAATATTTTACTCAAATAATTATGATCATCATGGCATTAGAGATCATTAAACAGAGTAATAATAATTGGTTGATAAATATATTGATGGTATAATTATTACTTATTAGTCAATTGGTTTCCTCAGGAGACATCCTGTTTTGTGGACCCTCAACCACCAATGTTTTCCAATGGTGGTTGAGGGTGCACATAACAGGAAGTCTCATGAGGAGACCAGTCAATATCATACCAACTCACAGTTCTCAACCAGAAAACAATGTAAATAACATAATGACATGCACATGTGTGATTATTTGTTATTTACCCCTAGACACAATCTCGTTTCCCGAGCCTGCAATCTTCACGAAGGAATGTGCGGCTCTGGGAAAATCCATTGCCGGAAGGCAGGAATCCTGGCTAAGACTGAACTGCGCATTCTATATCAACAGCCAATCAGATTCCTCCCTGAAACAGATTATCCCAGAGCCTCGCATTCCTTCCCGTGGATCGCAGGCTTGGGGAACAAGATTGCCCTGGATAATGTGTTATCTCCCTGCCGAGCATCTGTGGAGTCTCTCCAAGGGTTCCCTGCTGGCTCCGGTGCTCTAGGGACCTCTGCTCGCAGGGAACTCCGAGGGAGACAGCTTAATTTCTTGACTCTCACTTGACTTACCGTAATCTCGACCAATAAAACTATAGGAAAAGTGAAATTTGAAACTTGCTAAATAATCATAATAGTTCAGGCTCAGTCTGAATGTTACATGTTTTGCACCTCAACCATATTATAATTTAAAACTCAGTAGTATCGTATATTAAAATAAAATTCTTACCATTCTTCAACTAGATGTGCTTCGTCAATCACAATAGCTTTAACAGAATCTTGATATGATTTTGACTTAATTTTGACAAAATATTTTGACAAAATTTCTTATCTTCCAATAAGGCTTCTGGGTGAGCATACTATCTGACTTGGATGAGCAACTGATGATATTAAAATAGAGCCCCTCTCTGACCGCATGCTGTGCTTTGGTAACGTTCAAACGTTGTTTCCCTGCTGGCCTTCAAAGTTCAAAACACTAACATCCATGTGCTTTTTCAGTTTTGTAATCTGATCGACCATTAAGTCGTTTAATGGCGAAATAACAATTAATGAGTTACCAGTAGAATTCGTATTTTCACGACATGAGTGACTTTCCATGGCCAGTAGGCAAGACGCAAAATGTGTCCTTCCGATCATTCAACAACCACAGCCTTCACTGCTTCGTACTGACATCCCTTTAGTTCAATATTTTGCTTTAATACCTAGTTGCTGTAACGCTTTTTCCAATACGCTATCAAATAAAGTGATACTTTCTGCAGACATTTTTATTTTTTTTTACATTTCAAAACCAAAACAATACAAAACAATACTTATGACACACGCATGCGCAGTTCGGTCTTAGCCAGGATTCCTGGCTTCCGGCAACGGATTATCCCAGAGCCTTCGGTTCCTTCCCAAGGATCGCAGGCTCGGGGAACGAGATTGTTGCTTCTGGTACTTTGTAGGATGTGTAAGAATATATAGGTATATACGAGTGTGAAAGAGGAGATTCTGTGGATTATTTTGATCCCAATTATTGCCATGGTTACTTTATTATTATTCTAGTTTGCTGGGTCTTCTTCCGGGCATTCGCGCTAGTTACGAAGTTTCAAAGGAAGTCGCTAAAATACACAAATTTCGGCTAGTTATATCTTTTTTGTTTATGCTCTGATTTTTTTCGTTATTGTGTGATTTGAAAGATAAAGTGTCCATTTACAATCGTATGTTTGTTTTTTTTTGATAATTTTGCAACGAAATTGTAAAAATGGCGTGGAAAAGAGCAACACAATACAAGCGCTTCATTGTCGGGAGCGTATGCGACAGCAAAGGTTAAGCTTTATAGCCATAGATAACAAGACGAAGCAGTGTAGAGCAACGGCTAAGAAGTTAAAAAGATTGGATAAAAGGGTAAGATGAGCCTTTTAATTGTTTTGGTAGTTTATTTAGTACAAAATTTTAACAAATCGATGCCTCTAGGTATAGCAAAATCATAGTATTTATACATATTTTTTCAACATGATCGATCGGCTCAGTTGCTAGGTTAATGTTTACTTAGCCACTTGGACAGTGAGTCAAAGATCCCTTCGTTGAATGTATTTATTTATGTTTATTGTTTTATACTGCATGAATAATCTTTCAAAAGCATTTTTGATAATAATACCCAACATTTTCACCTTGACAAGTAAAGACAGTAAATTTGTCTGACAATTCAATATTTGATTGTTTCACCTAATGACCATTCATTTTATATACACACACCCCTATGGATGAGGTTTTCTGAGGGGTCGCCTGAATTTTAACGAAATTTGTCAGGGGGGTAACCTGTAAATACACCCTTTCGATGATTACATAACACATACTTTTTGCTCTTGGAGCCCCAGATCATGATTCATGAGTGCAAGGCTCCCAGGCCAAATGACGTAATTACTGAAAGGGTGTATTATTAAAATTTTGGATAAAATTCATCCGAAGGGTTGTCTAAATAGGAAGTAATTCTGAGTAGCATGGTATTGGAGATGAGGTTTTCCGAGGGATTGCCTCAATTTTAACAAAATTCTTCAGGGTAACTTGTAAATACACCCTTTCAATTATTATGTCACACATACTTTTTGCTCTTGGAGCCCCAGATCATGATTCATGAGTGCAAGGCACCCAGGCCAAATGACGTAATTATTGAAAGGATGTATTATCAATTTTTTTTATAAAAATTTATCCGAAGGGTTGTTTAAAATAGGAAATAATTCTGAACAGCATGCTAATGGGGATGAGGTTTTCTGAGGAATTGCCTAAATTTTAACCAAATTTTTCAGGGTAACCTGTAAATACACCCTTTCGATTATTACGTCACACATACTTTTTGCTCTTGGAGTCCCAGCTCACAATTCATGAGTGCAAGGCTCCCAGGTCAAATGATGCAATTATTGAAAGGATGTATTATCAAATTTTTTGATAAAAATTTATCCAAAGGGTTGTCTAAAATAGGAAATAATTCTGAACAGCATGCTATTGGGGATGAGGTTTTCTGAGGGATTGCCTAAATTTTAACCAAATTCTTAAGGGTAACCTGTAAATACACCCTTTCGATATTTACGTCACACATACTTTTTGCTCTTGGAGCCGTGGGTCTCAATTTATGAGTGCAAGGCTCCCAGGCCAAATGACGTAATCATTGAAAGGGTGTATTATTAAAATTTTGGATAAAAATTTATCCGAAGGGTTGTCTAACATAGGAAATAATTCTAAACAGCATGCTATTGAGATGAGGTTTTCTGAGGGATCCCTGAATT